TACTAGGATAGAAGTAGCTGATATGATTGACGAAGGGGATATAATTGCTGCAGTGCAGGAAGCACCAGAGGAAGAAGCGGGGAAGATGAAGGGGAAGAATGCAATATAATATCAAATATATCTGCTTTGAACAACGTTCAAAATATATTCAATTTTTTACGACAAAATTCCTGATGTAAAAGTAAACGTATTCGTAATCTCAGGATTGAAAGACTTACAGCGAGAAATTGGAAGAAAGCAAAATGCTTCTCTAAAGCGGCTCACGTTGGAAAGGTTTTGTAAAAAATGAATTCGTGTATAATATCTAAGATACTTTTGTTGTCCTTTAATATTTGATATTCTTATATTTAAATAAAAGCACTTTTTTAATAAAATATTATAAAATTCGATAAGTCGGATCTCTCGATAAGTCGGATAAATCTCCGCCCCGATGAGTCCGACTTATCGAGAGTGACTATGTATGTGGGTTTCAAGGCATTAAAAGGAAACCCAAAAGACCCCAAATTTCGTTTTAATCCGATTTCGTTTTAATTCGCCACAATTATTTACCGACTGAATCTTATTATTATAGTTTTACATTGCATTACCATTATGTATAACAACTATGTCAATCACTCCGTCTGGTCCGTTACTGTATAAACGAGAGAGGAATGAGTATCAATTATCATAGTCAAAACCAATTGAAGAACGTTCACAACTTTAAGTCATTGTCCAGAGCAAAGCGACAGAAAAATTCATGTGATCGAAATTTTTCATAGTGCGTAGACAGTAATAGTTGCTCGTGAACGTTCATTCTCCTTGCCGACGAAGCCGTTGAGGGAAATGCAGGCGTGGTGGATAGGATACATAATGATTTAACCTATGTAATCCAATGTAAAACCTATAAGATTCAGTCGGTAAATAATTATTATTTTAAAAATACACCTTAATTAATTCACTAATAAATAATAACTATACTATATCCTCACTTCGTACAACACACGAGTCGCCATCAAATTCAGTTTCACTTTGGACGTTCTGGAACGTGAATCACAAGTAGTCTCATGATGGGTTTGTGTTTTACCCTTGAGAAGGTTACTTGATAATTGCTCTCCAGGTACTGTGGGCATCTTGGTAGCCGAATCTTTCTCTCCAGATGCCAAAGCTTGCGCTGGATCGTCGAGAATTGATATCATCCTTGTTCATAAAAAAATCTTATCGCAGTAATGAGGGGTTATTAATCTCGACGAAGTATTGAGGGGTGTAGAAGTGGTTTTACGACAGAATAAAGAGATTTGAAATATTTGAGGCGGTGGGTAATAGAATTGGAAGACTTGAGGAGTCGCGTAAACAGATGAATAAGATTTTATTTTTTGATTATTTTATTACTTCAAATTATGATAGATGTTCCTGTACTAGTACATTTACATTGTCGTGATATTTAAAGACTGGCCCGTTTACCTTTTCTTGGTTGGCCGATACTTATGTTCCCGGTGAATAAACAAGTGTATGCTTACTACTCGAATAACAGTAATGTCGGGCGGAGATGTATTAATGTCTGCAGTGATAAATTTTATAATATTCGAAAACCATTTACGCGGCTCTCTGAATGACAGACAAAAACACGTATAAAGATATCCGTTTCCGTGAAAAGAAAATATTATAATTTTGCGTTTGATGATAGATTATTGTAAAATTAGTTGTGCTAATGCTGTTACATACTCATTTTACACCTTAATCACTCTGCTCCTACTGATACTCTCCCTTGTTTATGGAATGCCTATATACGATAAACCTATTATATTACATTTATCCCTTTGAATTTACGTAGGTTGATAACTTCTTCAAAGCTGCTTTCCTCTCTTCGACGCTCATTTCTTCAAACATTTTACCTACGCCTTCTATAACAGCGCTCTGAGATATCTTGGACAAAGTAGCAATCTTGTCACTTATTGCGTCGGTTCTAATCTTCTCTAGCCGGAACGCAAGTGAACTCTTATCCAACGATGAACTTAGTTTATTTTTATGCTTCTTGTTACTCGGCCCATTTACGCTTCCAATTATCTTTTCTAGCCACTCATAGACCTTCTGATCTGAATCTTCCCAATCCCATTCTGAGAAATTATCATCATGAAACCATGTCTTTATCATTATTTTCATTCGATCTCGACTCAGAGACGAATTCGCTTCATGAATGAGTTTGAATATGTGTTCTTCGTATAGACGCCTTCTCACTCTCCAGTAGAAAAATCTACGCGACTGTCGCCACTCGAGTGATTTACGAATGCATCCTTTAGCTTTCATTCGACCTGGCGTATCATGTAAATCAGCAAATTGAAAAGCAATCTGAGAGTATACGGGTAACAGCTCGTTTTTTCTCGCTTCAAGTTGTGCCTTAATCGCTTGTATCTCGGCTTCGGTCAAATTAGAATCATTTAAAGCCTGCTTGAGTTGTCGATATTTATCATCTAACCGTTCCATCGTTGCCAAAAGTTGTGGTTGCCGGAATTTGATCTCCATTATGCCTTCGGGCTCAAGTACGCCTGCTCTTGCCTTATTATCGGCATACATCTCCATTATATGCTTATTAATACTAGGATCGACTACAACCCATGCTCCGCCACGAAGTTCACCGTTTGGAATGATATAGACAAACACCGGTTGCTTGTAGTTGACAAGTGCGTCAACGATATATGATCCATACTTGAGTACTTCGTTAAACATGTCACGTTGGCCTCCGGAAAATCCTCGCCAATTGGCAAATATCATCAGCGGCAAGTGTTCCCCGTTATTAAAGTCATTGATAGCCTGGGCAGTCTTGTATGCCGAGTTGGGATACCATACTTGACCGGCTTCTACCAATAGTTCCTCATGAGAATCGGTATTGGCAGGGTCAGCGGGAACAACATGTTCCACCATACGTGTCTCGACAGCGATGACGCCCATCGGAATACCTCCTAATCTTGCTCTTCCTACAACAACTGTACGAGCCCATCCACTAAGAGTCTCCATAAATGATCCACGGTCAAAGAATCCACTCTGCCAGCTATTAGGATCTTCCTCAACCTCGTATCTGCCGGCGAGAAACCATCTGGGATCGTATCCTCCCTTCGGTGGTTCATACTCAACGTCTCTATCCCAATGATCGGAATTAGGGAGTATTGGAACGAGCAGCCCGCGCGATGCAGGTATATATGCGAGCCATTGGATTATTTTGGTGACACCTTCGAGATCATTATGAGCAGTTAAATGCGAGACACCGTTCTTGAACATAATCTGAGTGCCGCCTAATTGAAGGTTTGATGTATAGACTTCTCGACCGAGCACTTTGTTGAGAGCTGGCGCTCCTGTTAAAATTATTGGTTGACCCTCGTTTTGTATTGTACGTTGACCAAGGCGAACAAGATATGCTCCGATACCTATATCAAAAGACATATATTTAATGAAAAGCTACAATATTACATAAATACACATGATAGATTAAAGATAATTACCAACAGATCGACATGTAACCAAAGTAATGGTAAATATGTCCTTATAAGCTCTTGAAGTGGCGCCTGCAATTAATCCAGAGCCTCTTAAACACTCCACTCCCAGTCCGTCGCGCGCACCGATGATGTCCGTAATCTTATATCGCAGTTCTTCGTCTTCCACAACTTCCTCGGCAATCACAATCTTTTTCTCATTCTGATTCAATTGATTGTACACCTCCGGCGTCAAATACAAATAATTCATTCCTTTTGTAGGATTCGACTTGTCGATCCATGCAACGTTAAAATGATTGATAATCTCTTCGGCTAGACCAATGCGGGCACCAGAATTGGCAGACAAGTACACAAATGGAAGACCGAGCTCTCTAGCTAGTTGGGATGCTTTATAGAAAAATCTATCTTCAGCTGGACCGAACGAGCCTATTTGATGTGTGATATCATTTGCAACGACAACAATCTTCCGACCTCTCGGGTATTCAGGAGTGTATAAAGTAAAAACCCACGCAACCATTCCGCAAGAATTAGTGCCTGGATCTCGCTGAACCTCTTGTAAACCACCTCTTTCATCCATTGCAAGTTCCATTGCTTCTAGAATAACATTTGGAACACTCAAATCTGATTTATAATGGGTAGCCTTGTTCCATTGCACACGAACTGCTTGTCTAAACAATTCAGGAAAATCGTATACGTAGGTGGTTCCCATCAAATGGGCTTTGTATCTCCTTGGTTGTAGCCATTCCTTTGTCGGATATTTAGTGTGAATAGGTTGTAGATGCATCGTACCCTGCTTCCCAATGGACTTTAGAATCCATCCACCGCGATCAGTCTTCACTTCCTGATACGACTCTATTCGTAGAACATATCCCGATACGTTGTTGATGAAAACACGCAGAGGATAGCTAGTGCGTTTTTTAACATCTTCAACCTTGAAGCGTATCTCTCCTCCAGTGACTCTTAATCTCCATAAGCGTTTTCCATGTCGATCGATGAATCCATTAAGCGCGTCTTCAACCTGTTGGTATTCTAGCACGAATGTAGGAATGAAATTGATAAACAAGTGGTTGCAATCCGAGTTCTTATACTGTGAGCTTATAATTTCCAGAGAATCCAGGATGTCGTTTAGTAGCTTGTCTGATTCGGAAATTAAATAATCAGCTGTTTGAACTGTATTGCGTATACGTCCAGGGCGTACCAATGCGCGTATAAAGAATCGACAATCAGACGTGTTTTCTTTTCCAACCGCATAATAGCAATGAATCTGTCTGTTCGCGGTGAAAACGGGCTTAATATCGAAATTAGATAATCTCTCCAGTTCTAATTGATACGCCATTGCCGGTTCGATATGTCTAATAGTTTGATCCTCTACGAAACCCATAGCCTCTCGGAAAGTAAAGTATCCGGGATATTGTTCTTTTCGGAACAAGACAACCGATATACGGCGTATGCCGCTTTCGCGTAAAACAGCAGTATGCTTTTGTATGAGCGTTTGCAACTTGTCTTTTAGCACCTCATCCTCAATTGGATCATCTTCAAGTTTAAGTGCTATATTCAATACGTTTGTAATATCTTCTTTCTCGGCGATATTTCTCCCCTCTTGCTCATGATGTACTTTGGGAAACACTGCTAGGATACGAGGAAGGTTGGCTTCAATCTCATCACTTGATATACAGGACATCATAACTCCCATGCGAGGGGGCTCCATCTCTGTCTGGGGGACCATAAAACTCATATCGGATACTGAAGCTACCCTTCTAATTCCATGGGGGCGACCGGTCGGAGTAGGTAGGGGTGTGCTTGGACTAACCTCAGTTTGATGAAGCATGAAGAGCCACGAGACAAAAAATGGTGTTTGATTGGTATAATATTCGACTCCTAACAACTGGTATGCTCGATATGCTCGACGCACGTACACTTCCAAAGCGGCCAAACGCAGCCAGTCATCTGGGTGGTAGAAAAAGTTGGGAAGCACATCGAAGACAGCAAACTTTGTATCGATCAGTTCTTTCAGTGAATCATAACTGGGTGTACGATAGTCGTATCCATTGTCACCGTAATGACTTTCTATCACAGCTGCCCTGAGTATTTGTTCCATTTGTGACATTCGCTCTTCATATGATGGCAAGTGACAATGAATCAATATTTCTCGTGCTTTCAATGCTACTTTCGATGTTAGCCTCTTGTCAAGTTCGGTCAACTTTTTCAACATGGGAATAAAAAGTTTTTCGAATGATTGCCCAACACTTGCCGGTTTAACTTCCTCCAATAATCCCATTATTAGGTTATTCTTTGCAGCTATTTTCGAATGAGATAGTACTATCTGAACTACGTGTTTGAGATTATCTTTGAATTGGTCACGTAATAGTAATATTACTTCTTCTTCTCTTTTGCTGGTTGCCGAGAATAGTACTTCCACTTCATAGTATTTATTTAAAAAGTATATAATCTTGGACCATTCGTGTGCTTTGAGTCCAGAGATATATCGATGTATGACGTCTAATAATGGAGCTACTGATGCCGTAAATGTAGATGAATCGACCATATCAATAAGATCATTTCCGTAATACTCGATTAATTCCTTTAATTTTTTGGCAGGAAATTCTTGTCCATTTTTGCGTGATTCATAGAGTCGTTCATGTAGTGTGGAGTCAAGTTTTGCAGGAATTCGTCCAGAGAGAGTTGATAGAACCGAAGCAAACTCGTGATAGGGCAGCTCTGGATTTCTCAGCAACTCCATTAATTCTTTAATACTACTTTGCAACATAGCCTGATTATCATATCCATCTAAAATGTATTCTAGCACATTTGTCACCTGTTGCAACCGTTGATGCGGTTTGTCTCCAATAATAACAGGTGGTCCCATAGGCGGCAGCTGTCCTTCAAACGGTTGGGCATGGCGAACGCGACTCGGATCATCCAATGTCAGTATTCCAATGATATCTCCTGCTTCGAGCGTCGTATTTGGCTGCTTGATGACTTGTACTGTTCCGTCTTCAGTGGCAATGAGGGGCATATACATCTTCATCACCTCTATCTCAGCATACGATTGCCCTTTCTTGACATGCTCACCCGACTCAACAAGAAGTCTTACTAATTTACCCGGAGATGGAGATCGCAATTGAGTCGGATCGTTTTCTTGTTCCAATAGACACGTTTTGCTATCTATCATCAAGCGAGTGCCCTGTACTTCTTCTCTGAAATAACAAGTATGGCTCTTGCCATCCAATAGAACTAGTAGCCCTCCATCAGATAAAGGCCTAACGGATACCTGTGTTATGGATCCGTTGATGTACAGAGTGAATGAATTCGGTGCTGATCTAGTGACGGTGAACTTGTATCTGATATTCTGGTATATAAAGTCAATCGCAAACACAGTGCGCAGGATGTCTTTATTTGGTGTTTGGCCTTTCTCCAAGAACCTTTCGTACATTGATACCGACTCTTCCGATGCATTGTGGGCTTTGGTAACAGCGCCACATATGACAGCCAACATTGTATTTGGTCTCTCAGCAGTCAAATTCTCGTCCGATATTAACATGTCTAACCAACCTGTTGTAATTGTATTCTCCTCGAATGCCTGCGTTTCCAATAACTTGATAAGATATTCTACCGTCGTACGAAAGTCTCCCCGAATAGATAGTTCCTTCAACGCAACAATCATATTTTTACGTGATTGCTGCCTATTTTCTCCATACGCAAATATATGCCCAAACTGCGAGTCTGCAAATTCATGTAGACCACCGGCCGAATTTACTGAAAAATATCCCCATACATTTGTGCTACTTCTGAAATTTAGCTCGTGCATCATTCCACTTGACGGTTTAAAGCCAGCATCTGGATTTTCGGCCGTTATTCTGACTGCTATTACGTGACCCTTTGGAGCTGGTCTACGTTGTTTTTGGAGAGATTGCGAGTTGGAAAAGTCAAAGTCAATCTCGGAGGTTCCGTTTGGTGCTAACCCGTACAATACTCTTATATCCCGTATACGATGTAAAGGAATACCCATAGCTATTTGCAACTGAGCAGCGGGAAGATTAACGCCAGATACCATCTCAGTTGTGGGATGCTCGACTTGTAAGCGAGGATTCAGTTCCAAGAAACAAAAGTAATCTCTATCGTAATCGTAGAGATATTCTACGGTGCCGGCACTAACATATCCAACTAGTTTAGCCAGACGCACGGCTGCTCTTTCCATAGCTTCGAATGTTTCACCCTTAGCCACAGTTACCGGCGCTTCTTCGATAATCTTTTGATGTCTGCGTTGCACTGAGCAATCTCTGCCAAACAGTGAGATAGCATTGCCATATTGATCCGCGAGTACTTGCACTTCCAGGTGACGAGAATTTCTTGCTAGTTTCATTATGAATATCGGTGATCCGGGCACTTCTCCCTGTACTTGTGCGAACGCTTGTTCGAATTGATCGGCGTGTTCTACCTTTCTAATCCCTTTTCCTCCGCCTCCTTCTGATGCTTTAATCATTACAGGAAAGCCTATTCTTGTTGCCATTATTAGGCCTTCGTTTGCATCTTTGATACACGCTTTTTCGTATGCTGCCTGTGGAACAGTGACATGTCCATCGGCATCATGTTCGATGGAAGTAATGTTGGAACCGCTCCAGTCCAGAGTGGGCACATCAGCAGACTGGGCTACTATCGTTGAAGATATTTTGTCGCCGAGTGAGCGCATGGCCGATCCAGGAGGGCCTATAAAGACGGCCTTGCCACGAGACAGAGCTTCTGGTAAGCGAGGATTCTCTGATGCATGACCCCTAGATAAAAAAGGGTGTCATTATGATTAAGCAATTGGATATTGTTGTTCTGTGAGTAGAATTGTGTTTTACGGCTGCAGTTACAATCTCACATTAAACAAACGCGTATTTCGATTGATTCATTACCATCCAGCCCATACAGCATCTACTCCTGTCCTTTCGACGATATCCACTATCAAGGCGACGTTTGCATAGTTGTTATTATTTGGCCCGCCAGGCACTTCGATGTATTGATCGGCCATTCTAATGTATTCCGCGTTAATTTTTAAATCTTCGGGCGTGGCCATTACGGTGAATTGAATAGCTCTTTCGTTTCCAAATGTTTCGTAAGCCCATTTTCGGATTGACCTTATCTCTTTGACGGCAGCAATACCGTTGTTTGCAATAAGTATCTTCGTGATAACAGTGTGTCCTCCATGTTTCCCTACAAATTCCCTAACTGGTCCCCCTTGAGCTATTAGACCATTGTTTCCTAATAACCAGCCCAGCCAGTAGCGAGAAACAGAATGATTTGGACATTGTGATGTAGATCGCGATAATCATAACGGAAATGTTAAAAAGTGATACATGTGATTGTTGTGGACATATATATTGTATAACTAGATGAGCGTTTATTTATTATTTACCTGTGAATTGTCCAGCCATCATCGTTATGTGTTGAATTACAGAAGAGGAGTTCTCTCGATGATTTATATATTGGACGTCAAAGTAAGACCAAATAATATCTCAATACAGTAATGGAAATGTCTACTAAACGATTGTTTGCGTTTTACCCCAAAAGTCGCGGATATTGACATGTGAGTATCTGTACACACGGCATGCGGTATGAACACAGCAAAAATAATGCACATACTTAACGATATGACGATAAAAATATAATAGCGAAAATACAAGAGGAAATCTGACATTAGAGTTGCGATGTACTGAATATCTAATTGGCATGATATACACAATACAAGTATTATTATCTTCCTACAATCATATGCCTATTGCAGGCGCACATAACGATTGCCGCTTGCCAAGGTAACCGAACCCTTAAATACTTATAATTAGTAACATTTCCGTACAATATGATCTGCTTTGTAATATGTAATTTACAATTGTAATCCCCAAAATTAGTCTCGATTTGAGACTTATGCGAATTGCTGATCATTATTTGTTCATTGAAAATAGTGCAACAAGATCCAACATTTGAAAATAGCTCCAACAGAGACATGCTATTACTACATGTTCGTTAGTTTGATCAACAGAGTAAACACAGTATCGTAATGATCATCTCAAATGCTGGTCATGATGAGATTACCTACATATTTCATACAGTTACTACTTGGTCTTTATATTAGCAGATCGTCATGGAAGTTTGTTGTTCCTATCGCAAGCGTGACACAAGTCAGATAAAATACATCGGATCAATACCTTAAGAAGACGTTCGACTGTACAATATTCTCTCTGGCTGCACGTTTTGCTTGACTGGGACTAGTGGATCATTGCCATGCTGAGCATCATACAAAGGTGCGACCATCGTATTGTATATGTGTTTTATCATTATGACTACCATTTGTGATAATTTTCATATGTGTATCGCAAAGCCACGATGATTGCCAGAATCGTGTCACCAATCACCACCCCAACTTTATTATTATTTGATGTATCAATCACCAGAAATAGAAACTTACTCGTTCACATCAATCAGTTAATGATCAGTAACTTGTATATTCTCAGTACATCCAAGATAAAGTGACAGATTAAGTATAGCAATATACAGTTAATATAAACTACATCAATTAATTACACAGTAATTGCATATTAATATGCTGTAATAATAATGAGCATTATTGTTTGTTGCAATCTGATTATTACGTAAGCGCCGAAACCGGACTTGGAATTTAATTGGTAGACCTACCTACAAACACGAAATGCCCAACATTTTTATTCCCATCTTACATTCTCGTCCAGTCGCTGTCAGTTCAAGCATTTAGTCAACGTCTTAATAAGCGTAGAAGTCAGGTTTAAATAACTATTTACGTGTATAGTCAATATGTCCAAGTTGCTCTTTATAATCAAGGAGAAATACTTCGAGGCCAGCATCGTATTCAAACACTGATAATAATGTCGTAATAAACATTTCCTACTTGACTTTCGAACCATCTAAATTAATGTTTAATCTTTACGCTGGTGACTATCTGCTTTTCAGCAGAGTCATTATTTTGCTTGTTCGAGTTAACATTTGAAGAGTTGCACATTTTCAATATTGATATGTGACTTTCGACTATGGGAAAGACTTCTGCATGTCACTTTGTTCCTTAATTAGGATAAATTAAATCGTGTCCTAATTTATACTTTTTCTATCAATAGGATGCCTTAGCTTGTTACTACAACAAATTTGTACGTTCAGAGCGCGTTTACGTTCAAGAATTTGTTTTAAATCTGCAAAACCCACAGTCTCATAAGACTGAAGGCGAATAAGCGGTCACAAGATTGCTTATGATTTCTTGCCGTTCCAATGATAAGGGCGGCAAAGACAATCTCGATACTTACCCCTGATCCGGCTACTTACGGTATAATAACATGAATTACGAGTCAACGCAGAAACTCATGTTTATATCGGATATTGCGAGATCCGAGGTCAGACCTCAGGGAGGATTAGGCAGATAACTGCTGCTCCGCAGATGATAAGGAGTTTCAGTTAGTATTAGGCAAATAACAATTACCTGTGCGGAACTGGTTTGAAAATGGCTTCAGTGGCGTCAATGAAAACATTTAGAGAATGTTTAATGCATACATACACACATTCTATAAACAGCAAGAAGTAAACTTTGCATAAGACTGGATAGCCAGCTAAGTAGAAGTTATACTGTATCCGACAACAAATCTTGGAGCAGACAAGTAAGCCTAACGTTGGTCTCTTCTTGGCTCTGCAGAAGTAGTGAAATCACATACATATTCGATCAAGTTGTACGGTTTGGTAAAGTAAGATTGCTTTATTAAGAAGTCTTTATTAAAATTTATTTATCTGCGTTTATACTGTCTTTGTGTAATATTTTTTGTTATTATTTCTGAACTAAAGTATTTTACTAACAAATCAAACACGCTTACCAATTATGAGCTGTGAAAGCTGCTGCCGATATTCTATCATTACCAGTTACCTGGTATTACAACGCAGTAAATCAAGAAAAGTTTGATCTGAATGCGCAACCAAAAACTATTAACCCTTTTCGAATAAGAAATTGTTTAGATACTGTATTATATAGAAATCAAATTGTACCAGAAAAGAAGAGGCTGAAAATTTGTATTCTGAAACTGCTTTACTATGTCCCTCACGTCTAACCAGATTTATTATCAGAATTGGCGAACAATACAGTGTATTGTCTTCAAAACATTGTTACACGGCAAGATTTCTTTAGAGTTTCATTTTGATCGACGTTGTAGGTATAATAACAGGAAATAGAGGCGGTTTCTGGCAAGTTAAAGTGGCTTTTCGAGACAAAATTTAAATTATTTTTTACTCATCAATATATATCAGTATTGTTATACAATGATGCATTATATCAAAGTAGTTAATGTACGATTCTAATTCCACGACTAGCCAAATAACACGAAAATAACACAAGAACTTTTTAAAATACTCTGTGTCAAATATGGCATGCAAATACACCGTGTAAAAAACCCAGACATTTTAATGTTGTCATTGTTCTTTAATTTCATAAACAGGCTTTAATTGAAATATAAAATAACTAAATTTATGTGTTTAATTATAGGCTCACAACGTCGCCGCATTGACTTTCGCCAAATTGATTATGAATATGTATTCACATTTCCACCGTAAACCTTTCAAGTTATCAATGATCCAACGAAAATTTTGTAAATATCGTTAATCAATCCATTATTCCAAAACAATCTCTCGCAAAACTCTTTGGCAATGCGACTCGTATTGTTTTGTTCACTATCTTGTTGAATCGAGCGTTCTGTTAGTATCTCGGTATGTTTTGAGAGAGTTTGACATGATCATTTGGCATACACTATCCGTTGAAAGCAAAATACACTTTTTTTTTTCTCTTGCTGAAAAAATATTCGGTTCTTTTTGTTACACACTACTGTATAATTCGCCATAGTGCAGCCAGTACTGTTTATTAACCGGTAACAAACTTGACTAATCAGGTAGCTTATGCTGTCGAGATTCTAATTCGTTCGCAGACTTTCGGTCATCATTTTAATGTAATAACTAATACTAATAGAACGAATAACGTTTTATTGAGTGATGACTAATATAAACCTTGTCCGCGATAGTCATATTGTTAATCATGGAATACTGATGTATTGACCAGCCATCGAATAGTCCTGATATTAACCTAATAGAGCATAGTTAAAATTAATGTAGCAAGATGATGATTAATAAATTAAGACGTTTTATGGTAATAAAAAAATGTGTCAAAGTAATAATAATAATTTTTCATAAATAAAATCAAGTTATTTGAGTCCCCGATTCACTTGCTCATTGCAAGATCCTGCCTACACTGTATCTTAACAGAAGATAACCAACGCGTCGTCAAGTAAGTTAAGCTAAGATGGTGGAGGATTATTTCCGCTCGTTCTATAATGAGAATACACATATAGACATATTAATATGTTAATTGTTGGTCTGTTCCTACTACATCATTAGTCATGATACTTGTTTGAGTATTTGTGATTATGATTCTTACCCCTCAAAGCACAATCATTAAATTGTCAAAAGTGACTCTTACTTATACACAAGGCTTATAAAGCTTTCCACTAAGCATGTTTTGCATCTTTGCTTTGATACAGTTTGTTTAATTCTTGAACTTTACTTTTTAACTTGAATCTATCATCATATTGTAAACATAGATCTTATTTTTTGCCTTAGCATATCCTTGATCAGCTGCCTTTTCATATAGCTCAATTACAATTGCTTTTTTCTACTCCAATTCCATACTCATAACAGTAAGCAAGCATATATTTATGTCCCTGTGCATAGCCTTGTCCAGTTACTCTCTGAATATGAAAGAGTTCGACAGCTTTTTGATAATTTGTTTCTATGCCAATTCCAAGTACAAGTCGATAACACTCACCAAGATTGCTTTGTGCAACAAAATTATGAACATCTTAGCTGCTTTTTGAAACAATTCGGCTCCTTATGCTTATCTTTCTCTACTCCAACTCCAAATATATAATAATAACACCAACCAAGATTAGTTTGTGCATCAGTGTTTCCTTGTTCAGCAGCTTTTTGATACCATTCAACTGCCTTTTGTTCATCTTTTCTACTCCAGTTTTACTTTCATAACACCAACCAAGATGAAGTTGTGCTTGAGTATATTGTGAGGATCAAGAGCCTAAGATGACGTATTCCTCTCTGAATTTGCTGCGGAACGATAGGTGTCACCAACAACGGT